GCATATATATGCATATATCGCAGCGCGACGCATATAGTGCGACATTGACAGCTCATTTCTGAAAGATGCGATTTCGAAACATAATAAAATCATATATGGTTGTATTCAGCATAAAAAATGCTACAAATTTTGTCATAACAAAAATTTTGAAATTTGTAAAAATAATAAAAAGGGGTAGGGGTAAATTAAAAAATATAAAATTTTTTAAAAATCGATTTACGCGGTTATAAAGCTCATAAAAGACCATGCAACTTTTATTCAAAAGATTTTTTGATACCTCTTACAGTTTTGACGATATTTAGTCAAAATAAAAAAAACCGTTTTAGCTTGTAGGGGTTGTTTCAACCCTAAACGTGCGAGAAAGCACATAAAAAAAAATACGTGTCTCTTATTTTGAACTACTTTACAACATATTTAAAGCTCGTCAAAATCGGAGGGGGACACTTGGGTCCCTTTCCTTGTAAGTGTAATAAGGTGTTGTGTGATTTTCCACATTTTCGGCATTTTCCTGATTTGCAGTTTATAGCAATATGACCCAATCGTAAGCAATTTAAGCAGATTTTTCCTCGTTTAACTTGCTGTATCCGCTCGCTTATCGGTAAGCTAAGGAATGTCTTGCATAAATATAATGCGTGCTCTTCTTGGCATAGTGGGCAATATCCCTTTATCACGGCAGTGTGTGAGAGCGTGGATGAATTATTCTTGAATTTATTCGTTGGTCGAGTTGCTTGTGCCTCGCCTAGCGATTTCGTATGTTTGCTTACCTTTTCTAATAATTGACAACGCTTCTTGAGGAACTCCAAAAAACCTTCCATGTTGGGTAAATTTTCATGTTCTATGCGCTCTCTTTCCCATTCCTTTTTCGAAGACGTGTCGAGCTTGTCTGAAATCAAGTATATTAATAAACTATCCCATTTATCTACTGGCTGTTCTAACGCTGTTAACGCCCGCATGTGACTTCGAATGGCGTCAACTAATCTTCGCAAGAATTCGTGGCTTTCCTTCGTTAATCGTGGATACTCAATTATTTCTCCTATGTGCTTGTGAATCATCAAATTTTTGTTTTGATATCTTTTGGACAATAGTTCCCATGCTGCTTCATAATTCACGTTTGAGACTTCCAATCCGTCAAGAACCTTTGCCGCTTCTCCTGATAATAAACCCTGCAAATATTGAAATTTTGCAATTGGATCAATTCGGCCGTCAGAATGTATCATTGAGCAAAACATATCACGAAATTTTGGCCATTTGTCGTATGACCCATCAAACTGTGGGAGTTTTAATTGAGGCAATTTGACATTTTGAAATGAGTCTCGTGACGCATGATCAAATTGTGCTCTGAGATCCTGATCGACGATTTCGACCTTTGGCTTTAGATCGTAAATGAGTTTTTGCGCCTTTGATATCACTTCGTAATATTTAGTCTCAAATTCTTCTCTCTGTGTGTAGCATTCGTCGATTCCATCGTCTTCCGTTAGTTGTTCGATCTCTGTTTGGCACGCATCGTAATTTGCAATTAATTCTTTGATTTTCTCGAATCGTTGTTCCAAATTTATGATTTCGAGTTCTTCTATTGTGTTGTGATCGTCGTTTAACGTTTCTAAGAATAGGCGGAACGAAGTGAGTTTTGCTTTCATGGAACCTCGTTGGCGATTAAGGCTTTTCAACTTGCTCTCGTTAGACATGATGAAGCTGACTGATTTGTTATTGCTTACAAGGTGATTTTATGGCGTGTTACTTACCGCGTTGATTGAACACGTCTGTCTTTCTTACTGTAGTTTGTGCTCAACCTAACCTGGTTTGTGAGTGTTTGTTCAACTTTGCCTTTATTGCATAAATCCGGCTCGTAGGACCAATCTTTGTTCCCGCTTGTGAAGGGATGCTTTGTGTGGATTGTATCTTTAAACAACTGTTTGTTGCATGCACTATATTTCGTGTATTATTACAATGTTCCATAAACTTCTTATATACGTGCTATTCACGTGTTGCAACGCACACACACTGTGCTGCCATCTAAATAAAAAACTCTCTTGTTCCAAAGGTAATAATGCGAGGTTATTTACAAAGAACAACTACTTAACAGAAACCAACAAATAAAATTAATATAAAGCCAGATAAAATTGAATCATTTACAAAATATCTGGAAACATGTCTTCGAGGAATGGCTCCAGACGTTTCGAAACGCGTTATCAATAAAATACTACAATTAATTCTAGAAGTAGATATTTAAAATATTCGTTCAATATATTCTTTATTTTGTAAAAATACAAATACATTTTTTACCTTATTTGTACTAATGATTATGTGAGTAATTAATACAATCGTTAATATATTTGTTCAAGTTAAAATGTTTATTTTTGTGTAGTTTGTCATATCAGGAGACGCGGTAGTGTCTCCGGCCAAAGTTCAAAAAACGACACTACTAAGTCAGGAAAAGAATCTCTGGCAAAGTTCAGAAAATGACACTACTAAGTCTCTTATCCTGCGCGCACAAAGTCGACTTTTCGGGGGTTTGTAGCAACTAAAATATAAAAAATTTTATAAAAACACATAGTATATCCTTAAAGGCGGCATCGCCACGACTAATTTGAGCCAAAAAAAATTTAAATTGGTTCAGCCGTTTCAGAGATACAAGCGGTCAAAAAGTAATGTTAGTAATGCAAAAATTAAGAAACGTCGTCTCCTTATTCTTCTCCTCTGTCCGCAGGGGCGGATGAAGAATTTACGGGGCCCAGAGTATTATCATTATCATTAAAATTTACGGGAATTTCTCGCACCAAGTGCCAAGAGTCGACGATTTCGACTTCCCCGAGTTGCACTACGGGAATTCCTCGCACCAGGTGTCAAGGGTCGACGAATTCGACTTTCGCGAGTTGCGCTACAGGAATTTTTCGCACTAGGTGCAAAGGATCGACGAATTCAACTTCCCCGAGTTGCGCTACGGGAATTCCTTGCACCAGGTGTCAAGGTTCGACGAATTCGACTTTTGCGAGTTGCGCTACGAGAATTTTTCGCACCTGGTGCCAAGGGTCGTCGAATTCAATTTCCCCGAGTTGCGTTACGAAAATTTCTCGCACCAGGTCCCAAGGGTCGACGAATTCGACTACCCCGAGTTGCGCTACGGGAATTCCTCGCACCAGGTGTCAAGGGTCAACGAATTCGATTTTCGGGAGTTGCACTACGGGAATTCCTTGCACCAGATGCCAAAGGTCGACGAATTCGACTTTTGCGAGTTGCGCTACAGAATTTTCGCATCAGGTACCAAGAATCGTCGAATTCGATTTCCCCGAGTTGCGCTACAGAAATTCTTCGCACCAGATGTCAAGGGTCGACGAATTAGACTTTTGCGAGTTGCGCTACAGGAATTTTTCGCACCAGGTGCCAAGGGTCGACGAATTCGATTTTCGGGAGTTGCGCTACGGGAATTTCTCGCATCAGGTCCCAAGAGTTGACGAACTCGAGTACCCTGAGTTGCGCTACGTGCATTTCTTGCAACAGGTGCCAGGGATCAATGAATTCGACTTCCCCAAGTTGCACTACAAAAATTTCGCAAATATGAAAAAGAGAGAGAGATATGACATATTTTGATGTAAAATCTAAAATTTTTTAAAATATTTAGTTATCGATAATCTTACCATAATATTTTTATACGCAGAATAATAAAACGAATCAATACGTGTAAAAAAACCCATTGTTATTTTTAAGAAAAAGTATGTAATTTACAATGTACTTTTTTTAACAATTATGCGTTTTCTTTACTACTTCTCATCATTCTAATCATAAAAGTATTACGGTAAGATTATTCATAACTTAATATTTTCAGAGATATTTTAATTTAAATTTTATATCGAAATATGTCACATTAAAATATAAAATAACTCGAAGAGTATTAAAAAGAACTTCTGCAAAGTATGAAAAAGAAAATTATTATATCCTTTAATCTTGTTAATATTTTATTAACAAATAAACTGCCATGTAATAGAATTTTATTAGTATTAATGAACGAAGAACATCTCATCGACGTCGACATCGATCCAGTTGCAAAACTTATAATGTAAAATAATTTAGTTAATATGTTATTAAGTTAATATAAATGTTATATTCGAAATGTAGAAAAATAATTTAAAAATAATTTAAATTTTGTCACATAATTAATTTTGTACATTTCTGTACATTTTTATGTTAACTTAATTACATATTAACTAAACTATTTTACATTATAACACGTCTTGTGTTTTATATAGCATTTAAGTCATGTGAAACAGATGTTTTATTAGTAATATTAGAAAATAACTAATTACATAAGTCTTGCGTTTGATATCACAGTTACGTTATGTAAAACATAATAAGTGTCATTTCGAATGTTTTAACTAAATTATTTTATGTTTGACATGTCTTTGATTTGATATTATAGTTTTATTATAGTTTTATTTAGTATATTTTGTAAAAATTTTAACAAAACTGTGATATCAAACCAAAGATATTTTATATCAGCTATCCATGGCTTTATATCAATGGAGCAGTCAAACCGAAGACATGTTACAACAAAAAATAGTTTAGTTTATGTTACAACAAAAATTAGTTTGAATATTCGAAATAAAACATTTGTTTCACAAAATGTAAGTGTAATACAAAATACTTGTGTTAAATGTAAGATAATTTAGTTAATATACAACTGACTTAAGAGGATGCTGAAGTGACGGGCGAACTCCGACGCGAAAGCGCCATCATTTCGATGGTACTAAAAATGAAATGACATTATCGGCGCAGCCTACGGACCTATGCCGCGTAGGTCCGTGTGTACGCATTTGTTTGTAGTGGTGACTCACTACACTGACGTGTGGTCTGTGTACGTGTGTCATCGGAAGTTTGTAAACAAACGATGCTTGCGCTTGTTTCCTCGATTGAAATTTCGTCGCAAGGCTGCAATATAATGTCCGAGAAAACATAAGCGTATACAAGGTGTCAAATAAATACAAACTAAATATGACAAAATAATAAATGAAAAATATACATATAATACTATATATATCATTGAAGAAAAATGTCATATACTTTTCTTACTTTTATCCTTATGTAGTAAATACTAAATAACTAATTAATCAATTAATTAATATATACATATACACATATATACAATAAATAGTTATCTTTATTTTGTATTTTATATGATAATGACTGAAATAATAAAAGTATATATTATTTCAGTTATATAAAATACAAAATAAAGATAACTATATTCAATATGTATATGTATGTATTCAATAATTAATTAACTTATTTATTTATTTTGTATTTATTACATAAGAATAAAAATAGGAAAAGCATATAACATATTTTTCCAATTAGATATATAGTATTATACATACATTTTTCAAATAAAATATTTTATCATATCCAACTTATATCTATTAGACACCTTGTATAAGTCTATTTTGTCTCGTATGTACATCATTCAGCCATACGATAAAATTTCAATTGCGAGAAAAAAGGTTAAATGACCTTATAAATTATCTGATAAAATATAAACAGACCACACGTGCAGTAAATTGCAAACTAAAATAAATACGTATTTCTCCAAATCTGTCAGCTGACGTTAGATCGCCTATGACAATATTTCTTAAAATCTGCCAGTTCACGAATAAATCGTCTTTAGCTCTTTTTTTTCTAAACTGTCAGCTGACGTTAGATCGCCTCTGACTATATTTATTAAAAATTGTCAGCTCACAATAGATCGCCTCTGACAATATTTCTTACAATTTGCCAGTTCACGAATAAATCGTCTTTAGCTCTCTTTTTTCTAAACTGTCAGCTGACGTTATCGTATAACTTCGTATAATGTATG